ATATATATATATATATATATACTTTATAGCTATTTAGTAGCTGCTTGAAAACAGAAGCAAAGCCATTTTTTATGAGTTTATGCTTGACAACATTTTAATGAGCTTAAGTCCCTAGTTAAAACAAAAAGTACTGAAGGGATAAAAAATAATTATTTCACATGTGAGCTTCGTTTGCATGCTGTTCTGTCATTTCAGTGTTGAATTGATCTCAAATCAACTTAGCAAAAAAAAAAAAAAAATCCAATTATCGTCTTACTGAGGTCATGCAGTGATTTAACTCTACAATGTTTATTTTGCTAAATTTAAGCTGCACTAGGTTCAGACTTTTGGACAACAAACACATTGACAATAAGCATTACCTTTTTTCATGCTTGGCTACAGTTGGTAGTTTGTCATTGAAGACGGAGTTGAGTGCTCGGTGTAATCTCTGGAAAAAAACAAAAAAAAAAACATCAGCTGTCCCATGTTTATTGGAAATTAACTTAAAATAAACTAAAAATATATATGCGTTTAGCACGGGCAGCAACAACCAATCATTGGCAAGATTTGTTTCCTTCTTTATAAATGGTACCTTGCTCATAGTTTTTTTTTTACTCAATTGAAAAGTTTATTACTTCGAGCAGAGCTTGTAGACATTCCCTTAATAACACCTCTGCTGTCTGTACTAAAGTCAGCTTACGACTGAAAGAGTGATGTGCTCACTCATACTCTGATGTCCTTTGTGTTGGTCGATACCTGACTAGTGTGCAGCCAGTAATGGGAATGTGGCTCCTTGACCCGTGGGATCACCAGCTTGTACACAATATGTTCCGCTATAGTGGTTAGGAGAGATAAGGCCACGCCCACACACAGCATCACGAACAGACCAGAGAAATGCTTTATACCCATCTGTAGAGTCTGGGTGAAAGGAAGGCAGAACCAAAGAGGAGAAAGGTTTTAAGTGAGACAAAGACATAGAGAAAATCTTCTCAAACCTTTAATTTAAAGGTTCAAATCTGATTTCTAAATACCCTTTTTTTTTCGTACTATAAGGTGCACTAGATTATAAGGCGCATTAAGCAAAACAAAAAACAGTCAGATAAGTCAAACTTTATTCAACTCATTCACAATAACTCAACATTGTTCTGTTGTACCACATGAAATTGGTTCAAGGTCAGTAAGCACGACCAGAATTAATACATACGGCCCACTTTTGATTTAAAAAAAAAAAAAAAAAGGATTTTCAGTGCAGCTTATAGTCCCAAAAATATGGTACGCTCAGGTCCGGCATAACTAACGACAAGCCAATAATCCATCCATCCATCATCTTTACCCGCTACTTCCTTTTGCTTTTATTTAACATTACTTCACATAGTTGTCAAAAAGTGACAGTATTGTTAAAACACAACAATGATTTAGTTTTTCCACTTACTTTGTATTTTCCCATTCCTTTAATTCACCATTTACATAATAAAAATATTAAGCTTGATCTTCTAATGTTAAATAGTTCTGTATTGTGCCTTTGGTTGGTTATTATGGGTTTTGTTACATCAAACTAGATCAATTTATTTAAAGTAAGTTATGGTTGGAGCCAGACGTATGAGTAATTGATAAAAAATAAAAAGCCCTGTTTGTGTCCACCTTTCATTCTAAACCAGAGAAGGTGAGTGTATGACAGAGTTTAAATTCAAAATAACCATAAAAAAAAAAGAAAATGTTTAGAATTGGAAACTATCTGTAATTTCAAATCTACTTGTGTGCCACCTTGAGAATTTTGCAAGGCACCAGTGTGACATAGCTGTTTATGACAGTCAATGGCACAGAGATAAAGCAGATATTTTAGTTTGAGCAGCTCTCTTTGCTATAACTTTCGGCAGACGGTGTTGTGATGCTGAAAAATGAAATGTACCTGGAGCAATTTGGATGTCTGCAGCTGTAGATAGAATCTCCAGCACATCTCGCTGGAAAATGGCTCACATTTGCGAGACTGAATCACTATGTACCCCTTCTGCTACTGATATGAGTCCCACAAGTTTCTAATTTACATTCAGAGTTTATACATTTAGAACGGAGCATATGCTCCCATTCCCAGGTAAGTGCTGATTAATATGATGTAACTGATCAGTATAAATCAACTGTCAAGCAGTGCGGGAATCAATAACAAACAGTAAAATATAACCATTGTACAAAAACAGTGTTAATTTTTTTAACAATTCAAAGCCTTTTGGCGGTTTCAAAGTCACATTTAATTAGTGAGATAGTCAAGCTGCAAACATTTTTATGTTCCATGTGGTCAATTGGCGGTGGCGGCCATCTTGAATGGAGTTAATCAGCTGTAGATTTACATTCAATGATAATTTACTGCAAGTTTCATTACAATCCAGCCTTTGGTTCATGGGATATTTTGTTGACAAACACGGTTGACTAACATTATGGTCCACCTTCATTATTCATTTAACTAAATAACTTAATTTTCTGATTAATAAAGTGCTATTTGTTTATTTGGATAACCTGTTTTCAGCTTCATGAATGTTTCACTTGAACCTCATATGAGGAGTGTTATGAATTTTAAAATCTGCTGGCTGTACATTTAAAAAAATAAATAAATGTTTGTTTCTTTTTGTTTTTTTAGGGGCTCAAATGAAACAACATGTATGACCTGAGCGTGTAAATCTGCCCACAAATATTAATATTTTATTTTTATAAACAACGTTCACAGGCACAAAAAAAAAAAAAAAAAAACCACAATGTAATGTCTAGCTGAATGTATTTTAAAGTATTTTATTTGCTATCATTGTGTGTTATCCTTAAAGAGTATAAAAAAGTGAACAATGTCACAACCACTGTAATCTCTACTTTTATGTAATCGAACATACTTTACTACATTTGGTATTGTCATTCTTTTTAATAAAGCATAACATTGGCACATAAAGTCTGATGCAAACATAACTATATTTTTGTGTGTATTTCTCAAGGAGATATCCCATTTCTCTGTGGAATCCTTGTATTTTTTTCCATTAAGTTTGAGGTAAATGGGATTCGGTTTTCGATTGCTTAGAAGAAGCAGTAATAGCAACACAACGTTTATTTCCTGCTGAAGGGTCAGAGGCCAGAGTCTGGTTTAGACCAGAGCAGTTACTGTCCATGAAGACTTTAGACACCAGAAATTGAATTCTGAAACGTGTATACTAGTTGAACTACAGTACAAACCTCCAGTAATGAAAGTTAAAAACAATCAAACACTATTTTCTCATTAAAGATATTTGTTTCTATACTGTATTTTTGGGACTATAAGGCACACTTAAAATCCTTTAATATTCTCAAAAATCAACAGTGAGCCTTATAATCTGGTGCGCCTTACATATTAATTCTGGTTGCGCTTACGGACCTCCAACCAATTTTGTGTGGTACATGGCGCTCAAAAACCTGTCAAAATGTTTTCCTTTTGCTTAATGCACCTTATAAACCGGTGCGCCTTATAGTCCGTAAAATACGGTACATTAATTTTAAATGCAAACAGTTTATCAGTATCGAGCAGTGAAATGTAAATTAAATGGTACTTTCATTGTCTACACATAAAAAAAAAAAGTTAATTGAAATACAATTTCCTGTGTCAACCCAACACCAGCCACACTCACCTCAGTCACAGCGAAGCTGCGCTTCCCGCAGGGCACAACCTTGTACCATTTGTCATGCAGCATGTCCATGAAGCCATCGGATTTGTACTGACTAACAAGCTCCGAGAAGTTGGAGGTGAGTGGAGAGTTCTGAGGAAGGCCGATGCCATAACCTGCCGGTGGCAACACACAGACAGCGTTTGCTTCTTAGTGGTACTTTATCATGACGCCAAATGAACTGTTCACTCTTTTTCTTCACTAATCAAGCTGCTGAGCAGATTCATTGCTGTCTTGACAATTTTACCCGACATTTTAGCATAAATTTAGTTGAAACAAAGCAGGTAGTTGTATATCTCTGGATGTCAAAGCTTGCCCAGAAAGTGTGACAGATTCTGCAATAGCCAATTGCAGAAGTACTTTGGCTACACCGATTGATTTGCATTGTATCCAGGAGGCTTAAGGGTGCATTAAGTAATTAACAACAGCACTGGAATCTGGGGCTACTCTGACCTGTAATGGAAGAAAGTGCCACGGGAACGTTTTACACACTGGGAGGAAGAGACTTGCTAAATGGACCAGAGATTACTGGTAGACAACAGAGAATGTAAGCTTTTGAAAGCCAAAAAAGATTAACTATTGTGCAAATGTTGAGTGATTGATATTGTTAAATTTAGGGCTGTTCTAAAGCTCTCGTGTTCTGTTAGCCTAAAAGTAATAAAGAAAAGCTTCACAAAATTTAAACGAAGAATCTGACTGATGCTTAAATCAACAGATTCAAAGTAATTCTAAATAATTATTCACTTATTCTTCAGATTTATTCATTTAAAATCAATTTATCTCTAAATATTCATCGGTCAAATAAAATTATTCAAATATAAATGCTTTTTATTGTTCTCTGCGGGGGAAAAAAATGCAATGAGAGTTTTTCTGCACTGCTCCAATGACTTGGAACAAAAAACCCAACATTTTATCCCAAGTTGAGCAGCTGCTTTTCAAATTTGACCTTTTGAGAAAACGCTGAAGCAGACTCAGGGATCATCTTGTAGCTGTAAGCTCAAGGCTTTGACCCATGTATGAGTGTGTGTATAAGTGATTTTAAAACACACATAATGTGCTTTGGACAAACTCGTAAAGGTTTAAATTTGTGACTTTGTGTAGACTGTTTATTTTTTTTAAACCATGTGTTAATTCAATTCAACTCATTTATATAGCGCCAAGTCACAACAGAATTCAGCTCAGGGCTCTGAACAGAAACATTTAAATATAAAAAAAAAATAATTTAACATTATTTATCTGAGGAGCAGACTGCTTTGAATTTAACTCCATCACTCATCACTCATCTTGAGCAAACATGGAGGCAACAGTGGAAATGAAAAACTCCCTCACGAGGAATAGACTTTTAGCAGAACCAGGCTCAGGACACGTGGTCATCTGCTTCGACCAGTTGGGTTTGAGAGGAACAGATACACAATGGCAGGTCAATAAGCACATGCTAAAATAGAAATAGTATCCAATGAAAACTATTAAATTTTAGCAATTTGTTTAAGGAAATGAGGTCAATTTGTCCTCTAGTAGTCTCAGCTTAAAGCAGCATAATAGGCCAACCCTAATTATAGGATTTATCAAAAAGGAAAGTCTTAATCCCAGTCTTAAAACTGGACAATGTGTCAGCCTCACAGACAGAAACTGGAAGTTGGTTCCACAAGAGAGGAGCCTGATAACTGAAAGATCTTCCTCCCATTCTGCTCTTGGAAACTTTAGGAACCATGATTAAGCCTGCAGTCTGAGAGCGAAGTGCTCTGTTAGGAAAATATGGAACAGTAAGATCTCAAATATAAGATGGAGCTAGGTTGTTGAGAGCTTTATAGATTAGAAGTAAGATTTTGAACTCTATTCTGAATTTGACAGGGAGCCAATGGAGAGAAGCTAAAACAGGAGAGATACGATCTCTCCTACCATCTCCGGTTAAGACTCTGGCAGCAGCATTTTGGATTAAATGAAGATGTTTTAAAGAAGTATTTGAACACCCAGATAACAAATCATTGCAATAGTCCAGTCTAGACATGACAAATGCGTGAACCAGTTTTTCTGCATCATTTTAAAATAAGATATTTCTAAGTTTAGTATTACACAGGTGGAATAAGGCGGTTCTAGTAACGTTTTTTAATGTGGGGGATAAAAGACATGTCCTGATCAAAAATAGCACCAATATTTTTAACATTAGAGCTGGAGGACAGATTAATGCCATCCAAGGAGGGCGAAGGACTGAAACATTTATTCCTATGATCAGGTCCAAAAACCAAAACCTCAGTCTTGTCTGTCTTCAAAAGCAGAACATTTGGGGTCATTCAGGTTTTTATGCCTTTAAGACATTGTTAGAGAAAAGGAACTACTTGAGGCTGGACTGAACAGAATACATTTTGTCAAATGTACAAAGTTCATCCATTTTATGAATTTGTGGCTGTAACAATGGAACACAAGAACGTGCCAAACAAAGCAGAGAACTATTGTTCACTTTCTACTTGCATTTAATGCCTAAGATGTGATCATACTTCTGAATGCAATGCATATTTTTTTAAAATAAACTCACAATACAGAAACAAATCTAATAATAAGAAATTGTCCAGGATGAGAATAGCATGTTGTTGTTTTTTTGCTTTATAATTTTTTTAGGATTTACCTTCTATTGCAAAGGGTTTTCCAACTGTGAGTGTTTTACAGTCTGCATCAATAGAGACCTCGTAGTCCAACAGAGCTTTATCCATGATGAATGCATCCAGCTTCTGAGGGTCAGCCCTGGAATTGTACAGAAAATAACACTATTTTGAGTTTTTAATACAAGGACAACGCATGGATCCCAAGGCTGTGCAATGCATATGAAATAAGATTAAACTTGTGTCTTATACGTGAAAAAATAAGAAACGTTAGCAGAATTAATACAAAAAAAAATGTGCTAGCTAGCCCCTTTTTGGGTTCTGATGTAAATTGCTTTGGTTTTAGCCCAATCTTGTCAAAAACACCAACTGACCATAACATTTCAAGGGGAAAAAATTAAGATACTGAAGTAAACTGGACCTTATGTGTGTTTTTTTTTCAAGTTTTACACAAAGCATCAAACAATTACAGAATGTGGGTGACACATGATTCAGTACCTATCGTCACAAGTCTTGCCTTGTCTGAGCGCCACATAAACTTTGCAGAATTTTTCCCAGAGCTTTTTGTTGGCCGCCTGCCTGTAAAAGTCAGACTGTCTACAAGTTTTGCCAATTTATTTGTATTCTTCACAAGTCAGCTGCACAAGGCTGAAATATTAATTTGCAACACTCTCAGAGCGGCTTTAACAAGTTAATTCTAAAATCTGTTCTTGAAGCTAGAGTCCACTAAGATATAAATCCTAAAAAACATACTTTTTCAAGCTTTATTGTTGGTTTTAGTTCTTATCAAAGACAATGTTTGAAACCCTTCTTTCATTTTCTGTCCACATGTAGGATTTTTTAAAATTATTTCATGTTGACACAGTTTGCAGCTTCCATTTATAAAGCATTTTTGACAACTGGAAAATCATAATTGCAATCTTGAGGAAAAAAAAAAGGCAGCAATACAATTTGTAGTTGTGATAAGACTTGATTAGAGTAATAATAGCAAGTGGTTTTGTTTATTAAGTGGAGTGGAAAAAATAGGTTTGATGAAAATTTGCCACTACAAACAAACTTCTGAGAAACAGCAAATGCAGCCTGATGTGTAGCTGAAGCAGTTAGAGCTGTCATTTCGAACCCAAACTCGGAGCCCGGCCCCACCCGAGCCAGATTCAGACCAGGCTGGGCCATAATAATGTGCTTAATGTGTGGGCCGGGTCGGTGTTGGGCTTATTATTGCATCTGGAAAGCGCACGGCCGACGATCCAATATATGCGAACATGGCTTGCCATACTGCACCTGCCACACGTGGCCATTTCACCGCACGCTGACCGGCCGGTTGAAAGAGGTAAAAAGTTCAGTTAAGCTTCAGATGGACTACTGCCAACGATCCATCAGCCCAAATGGACGTTCATTCAGCCGCTGCACTCAGCGGATGCATGCGGCCGATGACCCAAACAGGTGAGATCACAAAATATCTGACATGTCAGAGCAGGATGCAGGCAGAAGCAGGTAAAGCATTTAATGCGCTTTGATGGTTCCTCAGCTCTGATCTTCGGCCCCCTCAGCTGTGCGCATCCACCAACGGTTAATAATAGTCAGTGGTATAAGCAGTCAAAGCTTAATTAAAAATATTGAGGGTTTTTTGGGGTTCGGACCTGTAATTACTGTTAATTCATTGAATCGGGTGGGGTTCGGAGATGATGGCTATGGGTTGGGGCCGGGTCGGTTCGAATTACTTCGACCCGAGTGCAACTCTAGCTGAAGTTGAAATGACATAAAGATGAAATACATGTTTTTTTATTTATCTCCCTGAACTGAAGTATATTTCTCCTGATAATTTGAACCACTTTCCTAAATTGGACATTTATCAATCCATGTGGCCCAAAATAAAGTGACATGATTGTGTTTTCCATGTACTTTGAATTGATAGCGTCTATAAGTTTATGCTGTAAAACACAAAGTGTGACAAGTTGTCTAATATGAACATTTAAAATGAGCTGTTCCTCATGAGACACATTTGAACTGTTTCCTGAAAGTTGATGATGATTTTGTCAATTAACTTCTTCCAATCTATCAGAATGATTTATTTTTTATTTTTTGGGGGGTGGAATTGTTGTCCATTTTATGTATGTACATATGGATGTATTTATTTATTACACATTTAGCATTTGAATTGTGGACATTAGTTTCAAACTGATCAGCAAAACCTAATGTACAGGAACATAAATAGATGACACCAAGTAATTTCCAGCTTCTTAAATATCCAGTAGCATGAGAAGTTTCAATGCATCATGGTCTCTTGTACGTTGAAATTGCATACATTGAATCAATTTGTGATATACCATATTTTTTGGCCTATAAGCCACTTTTTTTTTTTTTGCATAATTAGCATGCCCTGCGACTTTTACACCAAAGCGACTTATTTATGGATTTTTTTCCATATTTATAAACCAATTTTTGGCTGAGATATGACCGTTTTCATTCATTCTAACTGAAAATATTGAACACTACCATTTTCAGCCACTAGATGGCATTCAAGAGTATGGCATGCCGTTGTGTCATCTAATAGGATAATTAATGACACAATCTGCTTGCCATAGATGCCACCTTTGTCCAGCACGCCTGGAGCAACTGCCAAATCAGCTTTATTTCGCTGCACCACCCTGGTGAAATGCAGCTAATTTGACCATTAAAGTGCATTCATAAGTAAACGTTCAACTGAGACACACCTTTGCTATAATGTCGATCAAACAAATAATTGTTTTAGGTGCTTATCTTGTTAAATTTCAAAGAAATGCACAGCAAGTCCTCCCGTGCATGATCCCGCAGCCACAGATCGGCTTTTGAAATACAGCTGATTTGATCGTCAAAGTGCATTTATTAAGGAAAAGTTAGACTGAGACACACCTTTGCTATAATTTTGAGCAAACAAATAATTCTTTTTAATTGTTAATCTTGTTAAATTCTTGTTAAAGTCCTCCCGTGCCCGCTCCCGTGGCCACCATTTGGCAGCCAATCAATTTTTTGTCACATCACCGGCCTACATTTCCAGGTTGTCAGTGGTGACACGTAACAAACACGATGCATCAGTGGTGACACATAATAGATGCGACTTAGATCACAAAGGGACATGTTTATGGATTTTTCCACTTTATTAGACACATTTGGACTAATGTGACTTATAGGGTGGTGCGACATGTACGGCGAAAACTCCGGTAGTTAATGCCTTCTTAATGCCCAAAGTGTAAGCTTCAGTAGAAGACTGAAAATTCCTTTTTTATTAGTTTTCCATTTTTTCAGGTTGACATTTCTGCCTCTATCTACAGGAAACATTCACATTGATTATCCTGTTAAACCATATGAGTCTAATTTAGTTAAACTGAATAACTGATTTGTATATTTGGCCATGGTAAGAAATACGTCAGTGAGGGATGTTCTGCAGCACGTGTGCATGCTTGATGTCTTAATGCCAAGCTGTAATTCCTTAAAGATTACATTATTCCTTCAGATCTCCGTTTTCCATTTAGTAAGCTCAATAAATGAATTTAAGAAGATGCATGATGTTTCTTTAGATGGTGTCTTTGCTATGACCTGCAATCCACCTGCCTTTTCTCACTATTTTCTGCTCTGCACCATGGGGTTGTCAGTTGAATGTTGAAGCAGCTTTACGATGACAGCAGTGGCAGGGTAAAGGAGGAGGGTGGGATCTGAATGCAAACAGACAGGCCTGTGGTGGGTACTGACAGCAACAGGAATTAATGCTTTTCTTCTTTTTCAGAAACTGGTTGACATTTCATGGACATTCACATGTTTTCTATTTTATCAAGGACAATAAAGTTTATTTTTCTGTGTAACCCCCCAAAATTTTTAATGAGAGAAAATGATACCTCAGTTGACTGAATATTTTATATAAAAAATATGACGGCAGACTCTAGATCTCCTGACTTGGGTATGTGATCTGGACATGCATTTATTCTCTGCATGTGACTTATTGCCTTACTTGAGGTTATGTATGCCGTCTGGTGTTGCTGGGACATTGAACCTTCTCATATACTCATGCATTTCTGGGAAACTCTTCTTGACATAATCTTCAGCGCTGCTTTCTCTTACAGTAGCGAAGCGAAATCCCTGAGAGGGATGGTGCAACTGCAGGGAAGAAGAAAGAAACCAAGATTTCAGTTTTTACAATAATGGCTCATAATTTCTTTTCATTCATCATTCATAGTTCTTTTGTATAATTTCTTTCCTTTTTGTCTTGAACCTTCTGACTCTTTGTATAGTTGTATTTTAAGAAAATAATGAACCAATTGGGCTCAATTACCAAAACAGTGGCAGGATAATTAAATAATACAGTGCCTTAAAAAAGGATTAACACCCATTTGAACTTTTCCACATTCTGTCACATTACAACCACAAACTTCAAAGTATTTTACTTGGATATTATGGAATAGAATGACACAAAGCAGTCTATGTTTGTGAAGTGAAGAACAATCATGCTACATGATTTTCCCATAAAAAAAAATTCTGAAAAGTGTTGACACACATTTGTAATCAGCATCCCCGAATCAATTATTTGTAGAACCACCTTTCTCTCTGGTTTAGCAGCAAGTCTTTTTGAGTGTCTCCACTAGTCTTTCACATCTAGAAGTTTAATTTTCTGGACATTCCTATTTACAATATAGCTTAATAGCTCAGTAATATTGGATGGAGAGCATCTGAATAAACTTTAACATAGCAAGAGATACACAGTTGGGTTTAGGTCTGGACTGTGACTGGGTCATTCACCATCCATCTATCAATTCTTCTTCTATCACTTACCTGTGGTTGGGTCATGGGGACTTCAGGTCCAGGGACATTCAAACACATTAATATTCTTCAATCTAAACACTTTTGTTGTACCTTTGGCTGAATGTTTTGGGTCATTGATCTGTTGGAAGGCAATCTTCCACCCCAGTCTCAAGTCTCTTGTAAGCTTTCTGTCAGAATTGCCCTGTATTTAGCTCCATTAGTCTTTCAATAAACTTTGACCAGCTTCCATGTCCGTTCTGAAGAAAAGCACCCCAACAGGATGATGCTGCAACCACCATGTTTTAATGTGTTATAGTGGGTAATTTGTGATAGTTTTCCTCCACACATAGTGCTTCGCATTTAGGCCCAAAAGTTCAATTTTGGTTTTGTCTAAGCAGAACTCTTTCTTCCACATGTTTGCTTTTTTCCCTACATGACTTGTGGCAAACACAAACAGGTCATGTCATGGCTTTCTTTTTGTTATCCCTCCATACAAGCCTAATTTGTGAAGTTTACAACTGATAGTTCTCCTCTGTTCCATCTGAGCTAAGTTATTCTGCAGTTCTCCCATAGTTACCATTGGCTTTTTTACTGATTTTCAGAATAATGCTCTCCTTGCATGGTCTCTCAGTTTTGGCAGACATACATGTGTTGTGTGGTATGCAGTGTAACCCATGTGTCTTTCCAATTAACATTCATATCCTACTTTGAGTTGGGCTGTCTCATAAAATCCCAATTCAAAATTGGGATGTTTGTGGTTGTTTCAGGACAAAATGTAAAAAAAAGTTAGTCTTTACTCTTTCATTGCATTGCAAAAACAGAGTGCAACATGCATGCTGACTGACATAAGGTGTAATTAAATTCATACACAAATACACATCATATGACTTTACATATGTTCTTTTCTACAGTTATGAGCATAACATGAAGCCTTTAAAATAACTTATTTTGATTTGGATCATTTGGATAATTTTTACTTAAAACATTTCAAAGGAGCAAATTTTCAAGAGTAACCATTGAATATGGCTACATGTACATTGTTGTTGTTATAATGTACCTTTGGATCATGTATCCCTGACAGTTGCTCATAGGTTTTCTCCCCGACCATGACAGCAGCCAGATTAGCAGTGTAGGTGGACAGACAGAAAAGACAGAAGATGGCCCAGAGGTTCATCAGCAGCCGACCAGTCCAGCACTTTGGAGGCTTGATGGCCACTGTTCTCCCAAAGAGGATGGCATAGCACACGTTAAGTGCTGAAGAGAAGGAGAACACACGGTCGCGGTTGCGCCCACGTGGTGTCATCCCAAAAGGGCTGTGCCACTCATACAGGGTGAGGAAGATGGCGGTGACATGGAGGGAGACAAAGATGCCGAGCCACATGGACCAATGGAGAGGCCACATGAATGCGCCGATGGGCGCTGCAGTGTCACGAGTACGAACCTGGGAAGGGGACACAGGATGGGAAAACCTTTACAAACCATATGATATGACTAGATTTCCAGATTGATGGTATTTTTACCTAAAGCTGAAAGAAGAAAAAAAATCTAACAAGGCAAAAAAAAGAAGACCTTTTAAAGCAGATACAGATAAATCTTAAAAAAAGGACAATTTAAAGACAAAGCTATTAAAAACATTTACTGTAAATTAAATGCAACTTTTACTTCTGCAGTGGCAATTTATAGAAGTAAGAGTGGAGAAAATGAATACAACCATCAGCATGTCTGTCAGCTGGTGAAACATCGTAAAGTAATTGTTATAATAGAGTCATCCCACAATGCTGGGCGCTCACCAGAGAAGCCCCACAAGAGGAATTGCATTATAGCCCAATAATGTTGGGCTCATAGTAATGCAACTCTGCCATATTGATAGTGACCACCAGCATACCAAGCAGAGAGAGTTTAGGCAAGGTCATTGACACAGCAAAGAGAGGTGGACCAAAAAATGACAGAAATGAGGAATGAGAAAAGGAGAGAAAAGAATCTAACAATACAAAAAGAGATTGAGAAAAGCAGTACTGACCAGAATTCCCAAGCTGGTGGAAAAGAAGGGAGATGTGAAATCAATGACTTGACTCCTTGCTGAATTGATACTAAAAGATGTCACTGCCAGGTGGGCAGCACCACTTAGCAGATCTCCCACCAGTCCTGTCCAGCGACCATTCTTGAACCCACCATACTTCCCATCGCCAACAATGTATAGGTCAAAAGTAAATCCAATGTCCTCTGCCAGCTTTTCCAACAAGTCAATGCAGTAGCCGTAACAACATTTTTTGAGGTCTGTAGAAACAGATCCATTAGGTCCTCCAAGGTTCTGGAAAAGTCTTTGCAAAACTGAAGTTTTATTTGTGAGTGGGTCCAAACAAAGTTGACCAGCAGGGCACATCCCATCTCCGTCTACCTCACGGGTAAATACAAAAGGGTGCTCCACCAGTGTCACCACTCGCATGTGCAAACGTGTAGAACGGTGCCAGTCTCCTGCACCTCCAGAGCCTTGATGGTTTGGCCAGGCACCTTGGTCCAGCAGAACCTTCCCTTTTCGCCAGCGTCCCAAACGAGTCCAAGTTGGCTGGCCAAGAGGGTCCAGCTGGAGGGACCAGATGTAATGATGAGCCTCAGAGATGATATTCTGACTGTGACTTTCTCTGGATATGAACCCGCTCTGGCCCTCAAACGACGTGTTGGCCATAAATCTGAGGGGAATAATTAGAAAGAAATTACCAAGGTGGATAAAGAAACAGAGAAAGTTGAGTAGTGAAAAAGGGATGGGAAAAAAATAATACAAAAGTTAGAGGAAAAA